TTATATAAATTTATATTATATAGTATAATAAAAATTATATATCGGGTGACTTTAACCCGGGTGAAAATAGAATTTCCCTATTTTATAGCTATATATATATCGAAATTTTTATAACCAAAGTCGGGACCAAGTGGGATCAAGTGTTCCACCAACTTTCATTAGACAATACTGCAATACCAGCATGTAGTACGATAACAATATTTTGCATTTTATCAATTTATGCACGTGAGTTACGCACGTACCGGATTTAAAATATATCCGGACAACGTGCGTAACTCACGTGCATAAAAATTTAAAATTTCAAACCCGGTCAACAGTTGGATGCAAAATCCAATAAATATAAATGCCGAATAATCCAGTTATTCAAGCACGAAGTACTCATAACTATGGTACTTTAGTGTTCTAATACTAGTAAAGCGCACCAGCATTAGAACACTATTGTACCTTACCGGTATTTGCTATATAATTTGACTGGTCGCACCTTCGGTGCTTAAAATCGACCAATCAAATAGTATGCCGAATAACTATTAACGTTAAGTATTTTTAACTTTTAAAGAGTCATAATTAATAAAAAAATAATATTTTCTTGTTTCGAATTTCACGTGAACAAATAAAATTAATTGTTTCACGAAATGCTATAAAAGTATCAGACGAAATAACGTAACATAAATAAGTTACCCGGGCAATTGATTTACATCAGCTAATCAAACAAACTTCTGATTATGCACATTTCCATAAATGCCTTTCCCCCGATACCGACACTAACGTCAAATGAATCTATTTTTGTAACAGTCTACATGTCTACATGCGTCTTGAAGCATCTTGGACATTTTGGAGGTTACGTTACAAATTTATTGTTTCGACAAATGCAAATGAATCATCGAATTGGATTCGTATCCGGCAGAAAGCTTTGCCATAATTGATCGATACTACTAATTTGTTCCAGAATTTATTGAATGATGTAATCATATTAATAACGTCTTGGTTTTACTTCGCGTAAAAAAAATAGCGTATTCTAGAACAATAAAATTTAGCGACTAGGTTTAAAAGGAAAAAGAAATATTGTTTCTTGCAGTGATACAAAGAACCGAACTTTACATAAGTATGTACGTCGTACGTACGTACAAATAATTTCTATCGCCGTGTATTTTTAGCATAAAAAGTTGCATAAACTTTGTGTCGCGTGTCTTGTTATCACATTTTTTTAATACGGGTCCTATTCATTCTAGCCTATCATTATTTGTATATAAATGCTGTTTCACGAAATTGAATGTTTAAAAATTCCTCTCCTTTTCATAAAAAAAGAAGCAAACCGCAAAGCATAAAGTCCTTTCAACTTGATTTTTCTATAAATTCTCTGGTTTTTTTTCTTTTTTTTTTCACTAAAAATAATAGTAAATAGTATTGTTGATTTAACTAAGCAGCGCTTTTATATCTTTTTAAAAAATGCATCATCAATTTCTTTCAAAAACAATGCCTGTCAATGCTCCACGCAAGTCACGCAGTGACAATAATAACCTCCAAGTACCTCCTCTCTCTTATTCTCCTTCATCTCCTTCATCTTATTCTTCCTCTCGTTCAATGTCTCCTGAGCCAAGCTTTGACTCTGTAATAAACAATTCTTCTTATCGAAAGCCTACTTTTTCTTATATTCCGATACATAAGAGACAATGCTCTGGTGGCTCCAGCTCTATATTTCTCCGTTCATTATCCTTAAATTCTCTTTCAATGCCTGCTTCTCAATCCTTTAAAGACTCCAAAGAGTTCTTAACTCCAAATTCTTTATATACTCCTGAAATACCCTCCACTCCAAATTCGGTTTATTCTATGCCTGACACAACTGAATACACCAGTTTTCCTAACTTAGATCACTTTGCTGATGAATGTTGGACTGAAGTTCATGCTGAAAAAAGAAATAGCATAAGCGAATTGGAAATGGAAAGTTATGATGAAATGCTAGTAGGCAACGTTCGTTTTCAATATTCATGACCTTTATGCACTTTGCGGTTTTACTTTCTTTTTTTTTTTCTTGATAGATCTTGTATTTGTGAGCTGGCTATCCCTTTACCAAGATTTTCTCATTATAGACTATTCTAGATTTCAGAACATTTGTTCTCTTAAAATTATTTTAATATAATTATTTCATAGTTTAATAATTTTGTCTCTCTTTTATTCTTAATTCTATAATGTTCATTTGATATAATCATTTAAACGTGTTTTGAAGTCATTCACTGTACAAATTGTTAAATTCTAAAAAAAAAAATTTATATTAATGTTTTTTTTTCTCAGAAATGTATAAAAATTTAAGCTTTTGGGTTTGATTAAAATAGGCTTATCATTACAATAAACTTCAAAAAAAATTATAAAATCTTTATGTAAAAAAAAAAAAAAAATTAAAGCCAAACCAATATTAATATTTTTAATATTAAAATTAAATACTTCGCTTTTACCTATGGTGTATACATACATTAACCCAAATATATAATGATATATACGAATCGAAAATCGAATAAGTTGGCAGCTACAGTGCCTGTAAAAAGTTTCCCCGCATCTGCAATCTGATACGATAAGTTTTTTTTTATTTTAAATTCTATATTAAAAATTGTAATACAGTCTACCCTCGTTATAACGGGTTCCATTGTAGTGGATCTCTTGCTATAGTAAAGAAATCTAAATTAAGCAATTTAAAATTTTTATTATTAATATCATACTATCATACTATATTAACATTATAGGAATGTTTATTAAAACGAATTTATAATAGATAAGATTTTCTAGCACAATACTATATTATAATAATGGCAAACTATACAAATATAAAGTATTAATATTTTTTATATTGTAATAAAAAATTTAAATTTTGAAGTTTAATATTTAATATTTTTTAATTATTATATTAAGATTCTAAAAATAAAATTTTAAAGCTTTTTTTGATAACTGTTTTATCAATTTCTTTTTTTTATTGTTTTTATAAAAATATTTAAAATTTTATTGTTTTTTTTTAAAAAAAATTATATTAATATTTTATTAAATATTCTATATAATTTGTTAAATAGCTACAGATTGTATATTTTCATAATATTAAAATTAATACAAAAATTATTATTAATTTTAATAAAATTAAATAATATATAAGTAATTACTTTAATAACTAAACAGTATATTAGGCTAATTTATTAAATTTTATAACCAACTAGATCAAATTTTATTTATTTATTTTTTTTTTCAGCATGTCTTGCCACTGTTTTATTAGGTATTAATCAAGCAAAAATTACAAGAATTTTTAACTAGTTATTTCTTTAACTGCAACCAGTGACTCACTCGACTTAAAAGCCCAGGTGCAACATCGCCTAGTGGCCGTTTACCTTCCTCCAGGTCTCTAATTTACTAGAGGCATGAATCCTTTGATCATTGGTCAGTATCACAAACCATATCAGTATCATCTTTTCTTTTTACAAAACAAAATACAGACACAAATTCAAAGGGCAAAAAAGAAAACAAGGGGTGATACCTCAGCATCCAAATTTGATCCATCTAAATAAAAAAACCAAACATAAAAAATAAAAGAAAAAACAAAATAAAAAAAAAGACAACAAAAATAGCACTATCAAATCCGTGTTAAATTGTAAAAATTATATAGTACTATTAAATAAACTATACTAAACTCTATGCTAGTTATTTATATCTATATTAAAATATATAAAATATCCACTCTTGAGTAGAGATTCAAGTTTGAAATTTCTTTTGCGATCCTATCAGATTTTCGGCGCGGTATTCTGCAATGTAGTTCTCGTGTGCAATTGCTTGTTCCTGGGCAAAATTAAGTGACTGCTGCCATTTTCTAGCTTCTGACAGTCTCGGTATAAACACCACAACCTCTTGAGATAACCGATCATCATATTTTTTATCTAAAAGTAGATATATACTCCTGTACATAATTTTCCTTTTTTAGCAATGATTGTTGTTATTGATCTTTCGATAGGGTATGCCATATTTTCCATTTTTTGTCAAAATTTTGTAAAGAACATAGAGTGGGGTCTTAGAAAAGAGTTTTGGTTTGTGGGTAACCTTAAACTTCAATAGGGAGTGTGTTGAAAACTTGCTTGTTGTTTTCTTTTAGACCAGCTATATTTAACTTTGTCGGCAGAAGCTATGCTTCTATTAAAATTTTTTGTACAAGGGTACTACCTTCTGCCAGTTATCTTGTCAAGAATGCTTTTAACTTGCTTGCTAAATATATAGAGGAGTCCGGAAGAGAACAAGAGAACAAACAAAAATCTTGATCTCTGCAAAAACCATTACTTGTAGTTGTTTCTTCTACTTTCTCTAACAAGTTTTTCATTTTCGTTAGTCGAATATTTGGTATGAGTAATCGTCAGAGAGAGTTGTGTATTTCTATGACTAGATCAAATTTTACAAAATTTAAAAAAAATTTAAGAGCTATATTATTTATTATTTAATTATTTTTTATTAAAGGCTTATCTTCTTCTCCTCTTTTAATAAATATAAAATTAAGTTTTTATATATAATTTTAAATTTTTTTTATTTCTTTAAAAAATTATCTAATTTTTTTTAAATATATTTGTTATTTAGATATGTTTTTTTTTTGTAAAAAAACAAATATATCAGTTTATTGATAAGAACTAAACTAAAAATTACAAAAATTTTTAGCAGCTAATATCTATCTAAACAATTAGCTTGCCAAGTCTAATAGCCTAATATGATAGTTGTCTAGTATTTCTTGACTTCTCTTGAGTCTTTAACTTGCTAAAAATTTTTTTCTTAGTTCATTAGCTGGAAGTTATATATATATTAACTTTTTTTCAAAAAAAAAATACTAATACAAATATAAAGAGCAAACAAATTAAAAGGAGTTATATCTTGACTTCTAAATTTTGATTTACTTAAAATAACAAATAAAATTAAATAAAACAAATACAAAAACAAAAAAACAAAACAAAACAAAACAAAGATAATATTATTAAATCTGTACTAATTTAACTTTATACTAGCTATTTATATTTATATCTAAAATACAAAAACTTTATCAAAATCATTTGTTTTTAAGTAGAGCTCCAAGTTCAAAATTTCAGTTGTATAGTTTACAAAATTTTTATAATGTATTTATATTGTAATATAATATTATTAGACCTTTGGTTAACAAGTTACAATACTTGACTAAGTATTCGAATAGTTAAGAAATATATTTTTATAACTTATAACAGAAAATAATTTATGAATAAACCAAAATATTGTTGACTTATTGCCAATACGACTTCAATAAAGAAAAGTTATAACTAACAGTTTTTATACTAAAGACAGATTTTTATTAACTCAAAGAATACTCAAAAGAATAATACAAATAAAACAATATTATAACTCAAGAAAAATACAATAATTTTTAAAAAAATATCACAATTATAACAGAAAAACAAAAAGAGAATATAATACTATATAAAAAAAAATAAGAATAATCCAAGACTTAAAACAAAAATTATAAGCAGAATATCAAAAATATAAAGTTATAATGACCAAAATATATAAACTAACTGTTTCTATATCTTAGAAAAAGTGAAGGGGTTTAAATATCTTCTTCTGATATATTAAATTACTATAAAAATATAGTAATTTATTAAGAAAAGTATTTTTTTTAATAGAAGAGCACTTTCTTCTATAAGAAAAATACTTTTAATATTGAATAGGTATTTTCAGATAGTGAATAAGTATCTTAAATGATTGAAATAATAGATTGGGTACCTTTTATTAAGAAATAGATACCTTTTCTTATAGAATAGATATTTTTTACTATAGCATGGATATTTTTTACTATAGTATAGACACTTTTTAATATAGTAAAGATACTTTTACCAAATTAAGTTTGTTTGGTTTTGTTTATAATTAATATTGTTGTTATATCATTTTAGGCTATCTTAAAGTACTATTTATATTTGTGTATTTTGGTCCAGATTTTATTTATATTAAACAAACTAAAAATTTAAATATTTAAATAACTATTGCTTTAAATAGAATTTTGTAAAAAAGACAGAAACATCCAACTCTCCTTAATGATTACTTGTACCAAACTTTCAACTAACAAAAATAGAAAACTTGTTGAAGAAAGTAGAAAAGACAACTAATATAATAGTTTTTATAAAGATCAAAGCTTTTGACTATTTTTATTCAAATTTCTCTGTATATTTAGCAAGCAAGTTAAAAGTATTCTTGTACAAGATAACTGGCAGAAGGTGGTGCTTTTATATAAAAAATTTTAATAGAAGCATAGCTTCTGCTAATGAAGTTAAAGTTAGCTGATCTAAAGAAGAACAACAAACAAGTTTTTAACACACTCCTTATTGAAGTTTCCACTTTCTGTTTTTTACAAAATGTAAAAAATCTAGCATACCCCATCAAAAGATTGACAACAACATTCACTACTGAAAAAGAAAAATCATATACAGGAGTATATATCTACTTTGGAATGAAAAACATATTGATCAATTTCTTCAAGAAGTTGCAGTGTTTATACTGAGATTGCTGAAGTCATCAACTTTGTTCAGAAAACAAGCAATTAAGCACGAGAACACGTTGCAGGATACCACACCAAAAATCTGGTAGAATCACAAGAGAAATTTTGAACTTGGATCTCTACTCAAGAATGGATATTTTATATATCCTAATATAAACATAAATAACTAGCTTAAACTAGTTTATTTAGTACTGTATATAGTTTTTATAATCTGACATGGGTTTAATAGTACTATCTTTGTTTTCTTTTCTTTTATTTTGTTTTTTTTTATGTTATTTTGTTTTTTTTGTTTAGATAGATCGAATTTGGATATCAAAATATCACATCTTTTTTTTCTTTTGCTCTTTGAATTTGTATTTGTATTTTATTTTGTAAAAAAAAAATAATATTGATATAGTGTATAGTACTGGCTAATGATCGAAGAGTTCATGCCTCTAGGAAGTTAGAGGCCTGAAGGAATACA